CTGGTAATGCAAATAATACCGAACTTTTTAAACTTTAAACTATATGCAATATATGCAAGTTTGATTTTTTGCCTTATGACAGAATGTTAACAAAGCCATTGTCTATATTTTATAATTTAATATATTTTTTTAATCCATTTATTAAAACCTGATATAGAAAAAATATTCTGTTTTCGAGAGAAATTACCTTCCATATTGATAGCGACTGAATTTGTTTTTAAAATTTGTAACTACCGACGGGGAAAAGTTATTAAAATATGTGCAGGGTACATTGAGTTGGTCAGTTTGTTTGGAACTCATCGAAATTATCATTTGTGACCATTTGTTTTATGTATCACTGGGTCATGTGTAGGGTTTCGAAGCGAGTGTCCGAGTTGGTATAAAATTAGCACATCACAATATTTTTATACCCTGCACCACAAAGTGGTCAGAGTATTATGTCTTGGTACATTTGTTTGTAACAATCAAAAGGAATCAAGATAGAACCATTGTTTTATCTATAATTTTTAGGTTGATAGTACCAACGACATTTTTTACTCAAAAACATATTCATATTTTTTACTTCTGGCTGCAGTGGAAATAAACTCTTAGAGTAACATGTCTTTTATCATTTTTTCAGTATACTGCTAAAGAGGTAAGGTTGTACTACCTAGGGAGGACATTCCTTGGCACTCTTTTTTCCATAAAACTAAAAAAGTATTGAGGGTACAAAAATTGATTTCAGCTGCATATGTCTGCATTTGTGGATCCTACTAGTGTTTCAAAATGTCACTTAAACCTTTAAAATGCGGCAAATGTGGAGGTAAATTTATATGGGAGGTATACCAAAGAGTGAATATATCTTGACCATTTGTTGCATGAAGGTATATATTGTATTCAGGATCCATAATGCGAAATTACATCAATATCTGTGGAAAATTTTCGCCAAAATCTAAAAAATCCTAAAAAAGGGGGGTAGGGTTCTATGGGAGTTATATACAAAATATGTCCAATATTGAAACATTTAGGCATATCAATTTGTTACCCTATCCCAAACAGGAATGTTAAATTTCAATTGAAAACATACGGTACATAACCGGAGCTATATCAAGTTGTGGGCGCATATAACAACAGATATTGAATTTCAGTCCATTTCGATTAAAAATGTACCTAAAATCTTCATATTTCTCTAAAATGGGGGAGGGAGGTGTTCCGTTATGTGAGGACTGTGGGACCAATCTTCCATACATAGTAGGTAGGGTATATTAAGTTCGTAGTTCCTTTTGTAGCTCATCAAATAATCATTTTAGACCTAAAAAAGTCTAAATAGAGTCCGTTTGCTCATCTGTTGTAATAACGCTAGAGTCAATACGAATTAAGATAGAAAGCTTAAATTTTGCATAGATCAGTCTTTTGTTTGCAGGCAGGTCAATTTCGAAGAAGGGCTATATCGGTCCAGTATATCATAAAGCCCCCATATAACGGTACCCGCGATATTCCGTATTTTGACGACTTAAGCCACATTTTTCAATGGAATTGTCTGAAAACCAATACAAGGAGTTCCGAGTACTTTACCGCTGGAAGAGAATTGATTATATATATCCACGATATCGTATATAGGTCCCCGAAATAAGATCTAAATTAGGGCTTTGGTCCAGAATTGCTTACATATGTCTACGATATCGTATATCCCCCATATAACGGTACCCCCGATATTTTTTATTTTATTTTATCATTTTTATACCCTCCACCATAGTATGGAGGGTATATTAAGTTTGTCATTCCATTTGTAACACCTCGAAATATACATTTTAGACCCCACAAAATATATATATTCTTGATCAGCATAAAATTCTATGTCGATTTAGCGATTTCCGTCCGTCTATCCGTCTGTCCGTCTGTGGATATCACTATAGCTCCGAACGAATTGAAACTGTATCTGTCGATGTTCGGTACTTTGTTGAATTTAGCGATATTATTTACCGGAATTGTTTCAAATCTGGTATTTGAAGTTCGTAATGGATACTACAGCCTATGACAGAAAATTGTCTGTGCAGGTCCACGTCTTCGTATAGCCCCCACATAACGGTACCTCCCGATATTCTGTATTTTGATGGTTTTAGCTACATTATTCATAGATTTTTTGTTAGGTTTCGCATTTGAATATTATAATGGCTTATGACAGAAGTCCATGTCGTCGTATAGACCCTAATGTAACAGCTACATTCGGTATTTTTAAGATTTTAACAGAATTTTTAACAGATTTTATTATTTTTGAAAATATGCCAAATTTGTTCCAAATGGTGGAGGGCCGAACTTACAGCTTTTTTACTTGTTTTCAATAAAATTGTCTGAAAATCCACACAAGGAGTTCCATTTCATTTTGAGTACTTTGCCTCCCGGAAGAGAATTGTCTATATAGGTCCACAATATCGAATATCCCCCACATAATGGCACCCCCCGATATTCGGTATTTTTATGATTTTAGCGGCAGCTTTCACCGAAATTGTTTCAAATTTCGTATTTGAAGTTCGTAATGGGTACTTCAACCTATGACGGAAAGTTTTCCATGCAGGTCCATGTCTTCGTATAGCCTCCATATAACAATACCTCCCGATATTCGATATTTGATATTTTAATTAATAAAGTGGTTCGTATTTAAAATTCCTAATGGGTATTACACCCTATAACGGTTGTCTATGCAGGTTCACATCTTTGTATAGCCCACATATAACGGTTTTCAAGTTTCTTCCAAATAGTGGAGAGTATAGAAAGTTCGACCCTCCCGAACTTAGCTGCTTTTTTACTTGTTTTTTACTCACTATGATGCTTTTCTAAAAAAACAGATCGATTAGTTGTAAAGAAACATTTTTGTTTCTTTGATTTCTCGATATACAATGGAATTAGAGATTTATATTTGGCGAGGGATCGTAAAATTTGATGAGGAATATTTTTGTCTTGGACGTTATCCTTCTAAAATGAAGTTTTGTTGGAGATTTTTGCACAAACTCACGGAAAAGTGCGACCTTAATATATTTTCAATATATACCCATTCCTGGTTTATATGTACCGTCTTCTAGGACCTATAGAAGAATTTATTGTAATTAATTTTGTAGAATATTTTAACTTGCTACTATCTGATTTAAAGGGAGATTTTAACCACGTGTTAAAAAAAGAAAGACCCGCTTAAAGCTTGATAGTTTAAAATTTCGACCAAATAATTCCAAAATTGCAAAGATTCAGAGCAATATTTATCCGAAAATTACCAAAAGTGTTTAAGAGGGGGAAACTTGCCACCTCTTTTTTTAGGTTACTTTGCGATGTCAAGTTTAAAAAAGTCGATACATGAGTCATCTTTTTTAGTTCTAAAGAAGATTCCGAGGAATCTTTATCCAAAAATTACCAATAGTGTTGAAGGGGATAAACTTGCCCCCTCTTTTTTTTTTTTTTTTGAAGTTACTTTGCTTCTGGATTTTCAAAGTAATTATTGAAAAAAATGATTTTTGTCGCACAGTGTTATGATCTGATCAACATTTAAAACTGTTGGGCTCTGCCCAGTCCTAAGCGTTAAATCGACAACATAATAAGATCTAAATTAGGTTTTTGGTCCACATCATCCCATCTTAGAAACGAAAGAAATGTACCACGTACTGCTGCAATGCTAATTTCAAGATCCTCGAACATCTCGACTACCTTCCTGACGTCCAGAGGTTAGGCCTGAAAACTGCTCCACTTGTCGTTGAGCCTATTTGTTTTTCGGATAAACACAATAAGACCTTAATTACAAAATGCCGCCCTTTAGATCAATAAAGTTTCATATTTTCGGCTCTTCTCTCCAGGAGCATGTTATACATTGAAAGAAATTGAAAACAACTGGACTTTCCAAGCAAAACTTGTATGAATTATAATTTTTGAAAAATTTGTCAAATTTTTTATCAAAGTGTTGCCATACGACCTTCAAAATAATTGAGAACCAAACTGCAATTAAAGTTCCTTTTTTTTGTTGCAAAAAGGTCAAACAACTTTAAAAAGTTCACCTTAAATAAAGTGGTGCCCTGATTGTAGTTTGGTCTTAAGGATCTAAGATTTCCATTCCAAATGAATGATTATAATGTTACACTCCTTCCTGCCCTGGCATGGACTGTTCAAGATTCTCATTTACTCGGTGCTTTGACATGAGCTGTGTGAGTTCTGTGTGTGTGTGTGTTTTTTTTTAATTTTTTATCTTTTTTATTATTATTTATTTATTTTTTTTTAATTTTGTCGACTTTTTTTTTGCAAGTTGTCTTGTCGTAGCGAGCCATGGCGAGGTGATGAGGCAAGTGGGTTATAAAGGAATAGTGTGGACAAGAGAGAATACCATGGGTTTGTGTGATTGGGGGTTTCTATGGTACGGCGGGACTCGGAGATGTAAAGATAACCAAACAAAACTTACAACAAGAGTTCGTCGTTATGCGCCCTGCTTGTTGTTGTTGGATATTTTTTTTTATTTTTATTTATTTTTTTTTTTTGTTCTCTGTGTTCCTCTGTTTCTCATTTTTCTTCGGTCTGTCAGTGGCAATGATGGTGGTGTGGTGGTGACGATGGCGGTGTGGTGGCTGTTACTGCTGCTATTCTAGCCATAGCCAAGCTCCAGCAGCAGCAGCAGTTGACCATGTATGTTGGGGTCTTGATATGTGTTTATTTTATTTTGTTTTTTTTTTTTTTTTCATTTTTATTTTGCTTTTTTTTTCATTTTTGCGCTTTTTTCTCATTTAGCTTGCCATGGATTTTTTTCTGGTTGCCTTGGGTTGCCTTAGTAGCCTTAAAGCCGCATAGGGCTAAAGTAGTATATATTTCTGAGGAGCTTAACGAACAAATGAAAAAAAATATATATAAAACATACCAAAGAAGATTCCAGTTTTTAATATACAGAAAATATTTGTAATTATGACACCTTTTTGGAGATAATCTTAGAAAAAATATCTGCTAGAAATATTTAATTTATTTCTTTGTTTTGATTTATTTTTTTGTATTTGCAGTTGTTTCAAGTTCCCGGCTATAATATACCCACCTGTGTGAAGTGTTCGGAACATTTGACAAATAGTGGTAATGGTTTCTATCAATCTGTAGCCGCCTCCGCTGCATCCGGACAACCGGCTTTGTCTGCAACAGCTGCTGCCGCCGCCGTCGCCGCTGTGGTGAACAGTACAACAACAACAAACTCCTCCAACGCATTGAATCAACAGCAAATGCCTCAGCAATTACAGCAACAGCAAACTCAACAGCAAACCCAGCAACAGCAAACTCAACAGCAAACCCAGCAGCAACAGCAACAACACCAGCAACTGCAAAATTCCACAAACTCAACAAATAGTCTACAGTCGCAGGACGATTCAGAAGATGTAAGTGTTTGATGTTCTTCACCCACTTTTTGTTTTTGGTGTTGTTTGGAAGAGTCTAAAAAATGAAATTGGAACTTGCCGCAAAACCTTAACCACCAACACCTTCAAATTCTCACATCCTTTCGATCCTTTTCCCCTCCCTCTTCCTGTCATAACCAACAACAAGTGTGTGTCTCCATTCCCACCCAACTAAATTGTGAAGAAGATGATGATGATGTTGAAGAAGTAGAAATAGAAGAAGAAGATTGTGTTATAATGTTGTAATATTTTTTATCTAAACGAGTGAATTTCTTTTTGTCTTCTCTCTTTTCTTCCCGTTTTTTCTCTTTTGAAACGTTTTTCTGTTTTGTTTTTATTTTGTTTTTCTTACACTACACATGCTGCTTTATTATCTATCGGATATTTCTATTATATCCCTTGGACATGTCTCATTCTCACCAACACCAACCCCCAAACCCCAACTCCCCTGCAATCCTTGTTGCTCCTGCCCTACACAAACTATTTTGATTTTGTGTTCTAATCATTGCCGAACAAAAAAAAAACGAATAAAAAATCGCCTCCATCAAAAACACGACGACAAAATGCATTCTCTCAACAAAAAAAAAACTTGTGCTCTTCTCCCGCAAATTGCTCTCTTTCTCTCTCTCGCGCGCTTCTTTATACGTTTGTTTTACGTTTCGCAATCTGCTGCAGCAGACAGTTCAGCAACAGCAACCAACGCGCCGTCCACGTCAAAACGGTGTTAAAAATAAATTACAACAAATCACCATGTCCTCCTATGAATTGGAGAAGACCATACAACATTTAGATGTACCTATTATTTGTTTTTGTATAAAACTATTGTAGAAACATTATATTGCTTTCAAATCCCCCCCCAAAAAAAATGTAAGCTTAAGCTTTGACACAATGCTAGAGAACAGAGCGCGCATAAAACGGTCTCAACTACAAAGCGATGCGTTTAAATCATAGTACGAAACGGTTTTGAAATGTGCGTTAAATAATGAATTAAAAAAAAAATAAAATTACAAACGCGTACAATAACTTCAAATCGGCCAGTAACGCTTGGAAAATAGCCTCTAATCTGTTGTCGCAAACCAATACAGGTGCATAATAAAATGAAATTTTTGTTATATTTTCTTCATGAAATTCCAACAAAATGAAAAATTTTATACTGTATAACAGTTGTTAAATTAATTGAAAATTATTAATTTGTGTTAAAAAACACCATTTTTGTCCAAATGACATGAATTGGAAGTGTATAACAGTTTGTATAACAGTTTCAAATATTCCCAAATAATACGGTTTTTCGTATTTCTGAATGAGATAGGCCTTTTCAAATGAAATTGCCGCCTTTTTGGGTGTATAACAGTTTGTATAACAGTTATAAAATTTCTTAAAAATGTGAAAATTTATCAAATCTAAGCGAAATGTGTTCTTCAAGAGATGTAAAAAGGTTTATAACAGTTTTAAGAATTGATTAAATGTTGAACTTTTGCTAAATTATAGCACGATGTATATTTAAGAAAAAAATAGCACACGTTTTTGCAGTTGTTTTATACGTTTAAAGGTCATTTGCTGTGGTGTCTTAGTGGTAAAATTTAAAATAAAAGCCATAGACTTTACAATGGGCATATTATCAGGTCTTTCGTAAAATTTATTTTGTTATATGTTATTCCTTCCTAAGATAAAAAGATGAACGTTGTTTTCAAATTGGACAAAATATTAGGGTCCAGAAGTGAGTTTTGCGTACGACTATGCCAACATGAGGCATAGAACGAAATTAATGAGATAACATTATTTAATAGTTCGATGCAGTGCTGAAAATATATGCTTTAATGCTCCTTGTAGGCATTGATAAATCGTGATTTTCGATTTAAATGTTCAGGGATATTTCGACTGAAAACTAAATCTGTTGTAAAATGTGTCACCTAAATGAACAATAATGTAGATGGGCTAATCAGCATTCACAGGATTAGAAGTTTGAGCATTGGTTTAAAATATCTTGCCGGATTAGGAATTGCGAGTTAACTTTTTAATTGGTTCTTCTGCAATGTATGTTCTAATATAGTTTAGCCGAATCATGACCTTCAAACGGCCAATGAAACCGTCACACGCTGCCCGAATGTTGCTCTGCGGTATTTTGTCCCATTCCCGGCGAAGCGCTTGCTTGAAGTGATCGATAGTGGCAGCCGTGCTTTCCAAAATACTCCAGACACAATAGTCCAACGGATTGGTATCCGGAGATTGTGATGGCGGAGAGCGACCATCGGCTGTTATGGCGGCGCACACCATCACCATGGCCGGCGCTTGGGTTCTGGTGGCCAACCGAAGGTGCACATTTTGTTAGGTCGTTTACAAACTGCTGGACAACGAATGTTTTCTCATCGGAGAAAACCAAATTCGGCAGTTCACCACTTTCAGCCAAGCGAAGCAACTCTTTAGCTGCGGTTGCGGAGTAAGTTCTTGCACTTTTTGGAATTTCAATGGCTTTACCCCGAGCACATTTTTCAATATTTGCCGAATGGAAGAGCTGTCGGACGAGTGGCTTAGAAATGACAGCAGTCTGAAGTTGGTTGCAGTTTTTTCATCTCACCCTGTATAGAGCAGATTTTACTCTCGTCCAAACACAAGCAAAGCCTATTCACTCTTATTCGAGTGACAAAAATAGAGTATACTCTAGTTCTTTTCTTTTGCTAGCAGATGTCTTCACTCTCGAATTCGAGCGACTTTCACACTTTACTCGAATTTGAGCGATCAATGCATACCCGCGTGACTTCACTGAGCATAATTTTCTCCACACTTTTGGAAGAACATAAAGGACGACTCTCTGCCACGTATTGCTTTAAAGTTTTCCATGAATCTGATTTAACGAAGGCTGAGTATTATACTCGTAACCTTCGGTTCACTTCGAGTTAAATAATGACGTCGCAAAAAGTAGAGTATACTCGAGTTCTTTTGTCATTCCGTTTGTAAATCCTCGAAATATTTATGACAGACCCAGGATTTGCGTAAAATTCTATGGCGATTTAGCGACGTCCGTCTGTCTGTCTGTCCGTCTGTTGTAATCACGCAATCTTTCGAAAGAATTGAGTTAGAAGGCTAAAATTTTGCACACATGTGTATTTTGCCAATAGGTCCACGTTTTCGTATAGCCTCCATATAACGGTACCTCCCGATATTATTTTGATTTTTTTGCGACGATATTCACCCTAATTGTTTCAAATTTCGTATTCGAAGTTTGTAGTGGGTACTACGGCCTATGCCTATGAATTTCGTATGTCCACGTCTTCGTATAACCCCCATAAACTGTACCTCCCGATAGTTGGTATTTTGATGATTTTAGCGACATTATTCATCCGATTTTTTTTAAATTTCATATTCTAAGTTTGCAATAGGTACTACACCCTATGCCTAAAAAGAATTCAGGTTCTCGTCCCCCGTATAAAGGTATAACAGTATATTTCGTAATTTTTCAAGTTCTTTCCAAATGTTGGAGGGTATTAAAAGTTCGAACCAGCCGAAAAGTTCGAACAGACCCGCTTTACTTAACTTGGTGTGATTTTCTTCACACTTACAATTGGACTCACTGAAAAACAATGAAATCAGAAAGTAACAAAATTGGACCCTGCTAAAGTATTTCATGTACCTGATTTTGCCGAGGCTGAGTATCGAACTTGGAATCTTCGGTTTACTGGGTAACGAGTTAAATAATGTTTTTGAGGAATACTCCATTCCTTTCACACAAAGGAAGTTTTTTTTACATTACATTACAATTGACCCTCTCATGTGTTTTCCGCATTGGCCGCAAAGATTATGACTCTGACTTTCAATATTTTTCTGGGGTTTTCGATCATAAAAACCTCCTGTATAGGAAATGTTTTACCTCATTTCATTAAATGGAGATGTTATTTATCTTCTCTAAAATGTTTTAAAAACAAAATTAAAGTTTTGTGATCATTTAAATCAATAGTAGTTTAGACAGTTTTATCACTTAAACACTTCTGTAAGATAGTCTACTACAGCCTAGTAAATGACTTTAAACGTTATAAATTATACCAAATTTTGCAATTTATTAATAATCAAGTACTATTTAATTGCGATGACAAGACACATTTCCGAGTTTTCCCTGACTCTCCTAAGATTATTATTATTTTTACAATTATTATTTCAGCGAACGTGAAACATGTTTTCCCTCCAAAATAAAATGTAAACGTCTAACAACAAATGGTGATGGGTTTTGAAATAACAAACTTTACTAACCAATATTCTAACAAAACAAATAACATTAACATTCTAAAACCAGTGTTGGCTGGGCCTCACCACGTTCTTAAGCATTGGCTTAGGGATTATAAGAGTTTTCCATTTTAAATAAGTACCTACCAGTGTTGGCTGGTTTGAAGTGTACCTAAATCCAAAGTGTTGGCTTTGGTATAAGATTATAACAGTATACCAGTGTTGGCTGGTATATAAAATATAATTTTGAGACATAAACCAGTGTTGGCTGGTTTAATTTTCAAAAAATCAAAATTTTTATTGTATATCAAGTTTTAAAATATGTAGAAAATTTAAACATTTAAACATTAAATCGCACAAACATTGAATAGAAACATTGGTTTCCATTCAAAAGTATTAAGTATTTATACAATGTGAATTTTTAAAAACATGATCAGGAGATGATTGATTTTAATATATATTTTTTTTAAATATAATATTTTTTATATTTAAGAAATCTTTATCCTAAGTTATTTAGTTTTTTATTTTTTAATCGTTCAGATTAAGTAATATGTTTATTTATATAAAATTTGTTTCTAAGTTTTTACTTATAATCATATATTTTTTTGTTAGATACATTTAATTTTTTAAAAATTATTTTTATTTTTTTTTTTTTATTGTATAGAGTTTTAATTTTGATTTTAAAAATATGTAAATTTCAAATGGATTTTGTTGTCAATTTTATTTAAAAACAAAATTTGTATAATATGACTGTCTGTGCTCTTTTTATTGCCATGGTCAGAAGAGGACATCGTGAGGTCCATCTATGTATATAAGACCTCTTCATTTATAGAAAACATGTGGAGGATTTTCTATGTATATGGAAGTTCTTTTCTGGGTTTTCTATGTAGATAAGACCTCTTGTGGGTCTTCTATGTATGGGGGTCCTCTTAAGGGATTTCTATATGCAGAAGACCCCTTGAGGGTCTTCTATGTATAATGGACCCCTTGAGGGTGTTATATGTATAGAAGATTTCTTGTGGGTCTCCTATGTATAAAAGCCCTTTTGGGGGTCTTTGAAGGTCTTCTATGTATAGATGACTCCTTGATGGACTTCCATGTATAGAAGACCTTTTGAGGGTTCTTTATGTATAGTAGACCTTTTGAGGGCCTTTTATGTATTCAAGACATTTTGAGGTTCTTCTATATATAGAAGTCGTCATGAGGGGTTTCTGCGTATAGAGGACCTGTTGGGGATTTTTTATGTGTAGAAGTCCTTATGAGGGGTTTCTATGTATAGAAAACCTCATGATAGGTTTCTGTGTATAGAAAACCTCATGATAGGTTTCTGTGTATAGAAAACCTCATGAGGAGTTTCTGTGTAAAGAAAAAAGAGTAAAAGAGTTTGTGGGTCTTCAATGCATAGAAAACCCTATGAGGATCTTCAATGTATAGAAGACCTCATGAGGTTCTTCAATGCATAAAAGACCCCATGAGGGGTTTTAATCTATAGAAGACCCTTTGTGGGTCTTCTATGATAGAACGTCCCTTGAGGGTATTCTATGTATAGAAGACCTCCTGATGTTTTTTTTGCCTCTGAAGGTATTTTTTTATTTTCCTAGCTCAAGGCATAAAAAGGGTGCAAACACAGTTATTTATTCTTAATTATACCCTAAGCCATATGGCTATATCATTTAATATGACCAAAACGTCTCATCGAATTAACGGTTTTAGTCCCTTGGTCTCATTGAACGAAATCCGTCCGTCCGTCTGCCTGACGATAATTCTCGAAGGGAGTATCCTATTTGCCCGATAGTCCTCAAATTACACACATCACAATATTTGTATTAACCCAAGGTCTGGTGTGAAGATGGAATATATCTATCCATTCCCTCTGGTACCTCCCCAAAAGTGTTCATAAAACGCGAAATTAATATCCGATTCCATTCAGACTTGACACATCTCAATTATTTCCATTGACCCAAATTCTGTTATAAAGATGGTAGAGATCGGGCTATTCCTTCTGGTAACTTCCCCACAAAGGGTCAATGTTTTGAATAACCAAAATGATTATAAAATCCGTAATAGGCCTCCGATTGTCTTCATATTTCACTTATCCCATTATTTCTACTAACACTAGATTTGCTGTGAAGATGGGATATATCGGTCCACTTTATCAAGTACCTCCCCCATAAAAGGTTTAAATTTTGAATATTTATGAAGCTCATGAAGCGCGGAATTAACATCGGATTCACACTTGGTACATCTCAATATTTCCATCAACTCAGTAGCATCCGGTCTCTTCATATTTCACACATCCTATTATTTCTACTAACACTAGATCTGATGTGAAGATTGGATATATCTGCCTACTTCTTCCGGTACCTCCCCCATAAAGGGTCTAAATTTTGAATATCCATGAAGCTCATTCATACATTGGTACATCTCAATATTTCTTTCAACACAAGATATGGCAAATATCGAACCATTTCTTCTGATACCGGACAATTTCTTCTGATACCTCCCCCATGTAGGATTCAAGATTTTGACAACCAGAAACCTGAGATAAATGTGGAATTTATGATTTCGCATAAAATTTGATATAAATCGATGTTCATGTAAGTTTGTCCATACCAATATTTTTATTTGTATTAGATGAAGTATGAAAATTTAGAACTTAGGTCCACTATATTTTTTACAAATTATCCCATATCTAATATAAAGTGCAGGAACTAGTCGATATAGTCCAAACTTGCCACATCGCAATATTTATATCATAATTATTTAGGTTCGATATGAAATGGACAGTATTCTCTCGGAACCAACTCCATAAAGGGTCAACAGTTTGAATGATCAAAACAAAAGACAAAATTTTTTGAAATAATTTTGTAGTTGCAAAATGTCAGGTTCAATCCCATTATTATTGTTTCACTAAAAACAACGTTTGTTTATTAGTGGAGAACTATTTAAATAATCGAACATTGGCTGAGGATATATATCTGTCGGCCAAACCGACTGATACTTTTTTTACTTGTGTTTTTTTTTATAATTTCATAATTTTATAGGGACCTACTTTTCAAAACGAGATACTGTTGGGTTTCTCTACAAATCCGAAAATCTCATTGGAGATTTTTGTTAAAAGAAACAACGACTTAAGCTTGCATTTTCAAATTGTATTATATACAACAAAAAAAATATATATATAAAAAAAACTAAAATAATTTTTATATATCAAAAGATAATCTCTTTTCAAATGTTGATTTTAAATAGTGTTGAAAAATTACGTAAAATATAACAATTTTGAAACTTAAAATGTCGCAATGAAATACAAACACTATTTACAAAATCCATTTGAAATAAGACTACCGCCCCCCACCCCCCAAAAAAAATATATCTATCGAATGTTTCTTTTCTTTTTCTTTAATTTCGAACATTTTTTGCACAAAATTCTTTCCATAGGTGGACTTAGTATCTTGTCCTTTATGTAATAAAACATTTTCAGGGAACTCATCCTTGATCTCACATATACGTAATCATGCAGCTGAAGTGCTAATATTTACAGTAATATGTGCTACTTTTTTCTCCATATCTATTAGTATTATATGTATATATATATAAAACAAAATTATGATATTTTTACTAACCTCAAACATTCTCAAAAAATTATAAAAGTAAACACCAACAGACACACAATTATACCTACTAATCTACTGTTTAAGAAAATCCAAGAAAAAAAGAGTGAAATTTCAAAATTTTATGCTAGACTTTGTGTTTGGCAGTAAGATGAGATGTGTGGAGTGTTATTCGTAATTAGGATTAATTATGTATGTGTATTTATTTTAATCAATCTTTAATGATGGATGAATTTTTGGACAATCAATTACCTGAAGTGTTGGCCTCAAGTAGTCGTTACGATGTCTAATATCAGATTCTGAAAAAAAATTTGTTTCACTATTCTTTTGTTGGAAAGAAAAAAAAGAGGCAAATATTTCTAAATAACCATACTTTGTTCTCAAACATGCTGCTTTTTATTTTTGCGGAATGCAATGAAATCAATTTCAATATTAAACTGAAAATTGATTACTATAAATAATTAAATTTTTTCTAGCCGTCGGAAAAAAATTCTTTTTTGAATTGCCGACGGCTTTTGCACAACTGTCAAATTGGTTTTATAGGATGCCAAATAAATATCCAAAGTTTCTACATTGCAATGGTCTGTATCACGCTTAAATAAGGCGCGAAAATGGACAATGTCTTCATGCGTCTGAATGTATATACATGCAGGGTGAGATAAAAAAAACTGCAACAAAGTCAAACACCATAACTTTTATATATATATTTTTTAAATTTTATTGAATGAAAGCAAAAAATGCCGGAAAAAGCATCAAATTTTAGAATAAATTTCGATTTGTTCGAATTGGTCACCTTTGGCACGAACTATGGTCTTCAAACGGCCAATGAAACTGTCATACGCTGCCCGAATGTTGCTCTGCGGTATTTTGGCTTGTTCCCGGCGAAGCGCTTGCTTGAGGTGATCGACATTTTGGTAGGCCATTGTGCTCTGGAAATGAAGCGAGGAACCTCATTTTGTAACCATTCGTGGGTGGCGCGTGCTGAGGGCGATAATGTTGAGTCCTATTGGAATGTCCAAGGTCTGCGGCAAAAATATTTGCGTGCCCAAGGCTCTAATACACCTTCCAGAATATTTTCGCGACAATATTCGGCAATAATTCTGATGCCCAAGGCTTTAATACATCCTCCAGAATATTTTCGCGATAATATTCGGCATTTATTCTGATGCCCAAGGCTTTAATACACCATTCAGAATATTTTCGCGATAATATTCGGCATTTATTCTAATGCCGAAGGCTTTAATACGCCCTCCAGAATATTTTTGCGATAATATTCGGCATTTATTTTAATGCCAAGGCTTTAATACACCCTCCAGAGTATTTTCGCGATAATATTCGGTATTTATTCTGATGCCCAAGGCTTTAATACACCCTCCAGAGTATTTTCACGATAATATTCTGCATTTATTCTGATGCCACAGTCGATTAATACGAGCGGAAGGCGACCATGGCCGGCGCTTGAGTTCTGGTGGTCAACCGAAGATGCACATTTTCAGCTGACCTCTTTGGCAAGTAAATTTTTTTGTTTACAAACTGCTGGACAATGAATGTTTTCTCATCGGAGAAAAGCAAATTCGGCAGTTCACCACTTTCGGCCAAGCGAAGCAACTCTTTAGCTCTTTTGAGTCTATTTTCTTTCTGTTGCGATGTAAGTTCTTGCACTTTTTGGAATTTCAATGGCTTTACCCGAAGCCCCTTTTTCAATATTTGCCGAATAGAATCTTGCGATGGCTCACGAGTTATTTTTCGGCCACTGCGACGCGGGTTTCGATCAAGTCTCTTCTTAACTTTTCGAACCATTTCTGGTGATATTGCCCTACTGTTTTCTTCATTCCACTTTCTTGTCGTCGGGCTGCGCTACCAGTATCACGGTAACGAGCGATGGTACGAGACACAAAAGATTTATTTCACAAAGTGCTCTAACGATAGCCATTTATGGTTTTCCAGCCAAATATAAAGAAATCACACTATCGCGCTTTAATTCCATCACGAATAACTTTTTTTCTGACTTTGGTTGCAGTTTTTTTTATCTCACCCAGTAGGAGTGTATTACGCGGGTCCAATGGTCAAGTTATGAAATAGTTTAAAGAAACTGATTCTCACTTCCATTTATCACCTTTTCTTAACAATTAAAACAAAATTCTACCGTTTCTGAAATTAGTACTAAAGCAGAGAAAATTTTGAAAAAAAACTAAATAAAAGCATAAAAAAGTAACGCTTTCAAGGAATAAACCATCAATTCATCCATCAAAATACAATGTGCATGCTAATATAGGGTATACAAATAAAAATCAGTTTTTTTATTTTTATTGAAAAACAAAAACAAATATTTAAATTAAATAAGAAAATAAAAAAATTAAATGAGAAAAAAGGCGGCCAGTATGTTGGTACTGGCGGCTGGTTAGTGTACAAAAGTTCGTCAAATTGTAGGAAAGAGATTTTCACAAATAAGGCGCCTGGATTGGTACAATGACTATAAGTATTTTTTCGTATTTGTTTTAGCGTATTTCGTGTGTATAACAGTTTGTATAACACTATAAAAACTAGGTATAACAATTGTATTATCTTAACAATCAGTAGAACAATATTTAAATTGTATATTTATGTGTATAACAGTTTGTATAACAGTATGAAAGTGTGTATAACAGTTTCAATAACATGTTATAAACACTTTTCCAATCCAAAATTGTCATAACTTAACATTTTGTGATTGTATAACACTTTGTATAACAGTTTTCGTTTTTGATAAAAATCTTAAAATTTTTTTCATTTTATTCTCTGACACTCAGTTTATCCCACTTTATGTTCCTCTTGATCCCATAGTATTTTTTGGTTTCAGTTATTTTATGTATATATGTATGTATGTATTTTTGTATAAATTTCCAAACCAAATGTGAGGCTTGAGTATAGGAGAGAAGGTTAGGTTCGCGTTTTTTTTTTTTGTATGAGATTTCTCAATGGATGATGTGTGGAATAAAAGATCAATGAAAAAGATGAAGTTCCCCACAAGAAAAACATCGTTTTGGATCGACTAAACACAAAGCTGCTGGCTGGCTGGCTGGACCCTGATATAATTATATATCCCCTACATGCTACAAACAATAAAAATCACAACAGCAACAACATTGAATCGTCCTAATCCCCATCAGGATGAAGGTTATGTGGAGCTCCAGGTACGTAGCGTTGTAATTCCAATTGGTAAGGGAATAGTTATCCAGTAATCACTATTTGGTTTGCTCTTCTTTACTTTCAGGCTGTATAGAAATTGTTTTTTCCACTTTCAGAAAATCAAAATCGAAACAGAAGAAACGGATTGAACCCAAGAAAAAAAACACAACAAATGAAAAAAGTACTGTATAACAGTTTATCTAAAAAAAGGGGAATATAATGTAATTAATTTTTCAACTTTTGTTTCTTTCGTTCGTTGCTGCCTTTAGTTAAGTTAATGAACTAATCAAAATATTTACTTTTGTCTTTTCCTATCTGTCTATTCTGGTAACATATGTATTCAGTATATAGGCCAGCTACAGCTGCTTGCATCAAAGAATTAAGGAGAAAGAGCTATCCTAGAGGCTTTGGCAAGGACATGTGGTCCCCAGGCTATTTTGTAAATCACAACAATGTCATCATCGCAAAATCCCTTTATATCACGTTCTTCTTCCATCTATTTAGAGATCTCTAATGAAAAAGTACTGTATAAACTAGTTTTTTTGCTTGTATTTTCTAACCTTTATGAAGAGTATTTAGACATGGATCTATGGTAAACGATTGGAGTGTTGGCTCCAATGGAAAAGGATTTTTAAATATTTAATTTAAATCTATATATAATATATACTAAATATTTTAACACATAACACAAATCTTATAATACCACCCCTAACACATGACTAAACCCCCCAAAAAATTAACATTTTATTAACAGTTATATATATAACAAACTCTATTAACAACAAACAATTTAACTATTTGGAGGAGAAAACAAAAAAAATGTTTCATAAAATCAATATAAACATGATTACGTAAGGAAAATTTAAAAGATATCCTTATATGTTTTAAATATGTACAACCCTTTTTCAATGATAGCTACAAAATAATGTATAATTTTGTAAAGTAATGTCATAACGATTAAAGAAAAAGAAAAGATTTATAATGATCTTTATTGCTTTCAATATGTTTTTTATAACTCAAAATTTTATAAAAACCCTAAAAATGTATTTTTTCGCTACAATATTCTAAGTTTTTAAAAAATTCTATAAATCTATAAATAATATATTTTATAATTCTTTCTTGTTACAAATTCTGGTTGCTGATAAGAAAGTGAATATGATAAAAATCACCATTATCAAAACGCATCTAAAATGTCGGTGTTAAAAAATATCTAAACTTTATAAACAGCCTTTAAATTCCTCCAGAATGTACTGTTTAGTTGTTCCAATCATTAAAGCAAAAACTTAGTTTTTAAAATAATTTTCTTAGAAGCAACCAGACTTTATAAAAATATTTAAATTACTATTCCGAAATCTCACAAACAAAGAGGAAAAAATGATTTTTTAAAAGACAGATGAAGAAGAATTTACATTTGCCTCATTCATCTCCCGTCTTGCCATAAAAGTCGGTTTTTTCTGTCTCTACGAGATTCCTGTTATAAGAGTATACAATGAAATTATTATTTTATATTTATTATGAAATGTCTATATAAACCTATACGTTTGACTAATGATATTGTAATGTTATTATAACACTGCTATTCTTAAGTATACAAATTCATTTCGATCGAAATTTATTCTAGAATTTGATTTTTGCTCTTCTTTACACTATGAAACTATGGTGAAAAGTACATGTTGTATTAGGAGTCTCAGCAAAAAGGTCAGATGTGTTTCAATATCTATTTTGCAAAATTTTCATCGAAGACACCATATATAAATGTTGAGATGATTTTTACATCTCCCTTGGACTGTCTACTGAATAGAAGTGCTTTAATGATAGAAGAAGTACCACAAACAGATCTAATAGTGAGCTGATCTTTGTTGAATTTGTGATTCTCTTTGGATAACGTCAAAGACTTCCCCAAGGATCTTTGAATTAAATATCAAGCCCAATGTTTGCTTCTCTCGTTCAGAATGTGAATCCTTATCGTATACTTTGACAGAGTTAACTGAAGATTTCACTCCTGCAAAAAATTATGATGGTAGCTGAAAATTCAGCGATTGTCTAGCAGATATTTTAGAAACCATTGTCCAGATCCAAAAATTTGACCGGTTGGATGAGTATCACACACCGGGCACACATATTCGGAATTTTCGAAAATACGACTTGAGGCGACGGCACCATCCTCAACGTAATTGCGCTAAAACTACCATTGATTGTCTAAACAGCCGACGTTCTTCAGTTGCAATAGATGGAGGGTGGATTTCGAGAATCTAGAGGTTTTCTCGTATAGCGTTGGACCTCCCCCTCTCTAGATTATATATAAAACCTTCCTGACACCCCAGAATGGGGAGTTTAATCCACCATATGATGGTTTGGATGACTCCACGATGACACACATAAGCACTGCAACGAACACATATGGTTATGCTGACGTACCGGAAGGACCTTCGCCTCCTCATGTAAATGGTTCACTCAGAAACAATTCCTGTGTTCTAAAACCACTGTCAAAATTTAGACTGATGATGATCAGCTGCCAATTATTTAATTATTGCCACCAGCTTTCTTGAAGTAAGATCTTCGAAAACTGTCGATATTATATCTACTAGACAAATCTATTGACAGACTGATTAACATAGAACCACATCCAGCTAATAACATCACCCACCCAAGCTTGTTATGTCAACGTTTATAATTTGAAAAATATTGAATGTGGCAGTATTTCGATTCGCAGTGATAGATAGATGTTTAGTGCTTTTATTTTACCATCTATCATACTAACTAGGTCATATTAAGATTATCCTTCCTTTTGTAACTCATCGAAATATTCTTAGTCCAATTATATAAATTTTAAGTTTATTAAGCCATGTCCGTCCGTCTATTGAAATCGCGCTAGAGTTCAAACGACTTGCGATAGGTGGCTAAGATTTCGCATAGAGCTGTATTTTGACAGATCAAATTCAAGGGAGGGCTATATCGAAGATCAATATCAGATAGGCCCCATTAAACGGTACCTCCTGACATGAAGTAGTTGAATAAATTTTGCCACATTGCCCAACGAAATTGTTTGAAGTGTGAAGGTTTCTTAGTATGCACTGCACCTTCTTGCGGAACAGTCCGCCTGCTTACAACAGTACCTCCCTATTTTTGGTAGTTTGAACTTAATCGCTTTCTTTTGTTCATGTTCAAATATTCTGTTTTTTTTTTTTACCAAAATATTAAAAATTAACTTAATCCCAATTCGGTAATTTTTAGAATATGGATGCATTTTATCTGAGCTCAGAAGAGCTTTACAGAAGAAATCAAAACAAAAATATTTTCACCAAATAAAGTAGTGTAAAAAAGAGCAAAGCTATTATTTTAATCGGTAATTCAAAATGTTGATGTTTTATATTAAAAACTGTACTACAATGTAAATAGCTTATAAGTAGACCAATTAAAGTTCAGTGCTAAAAAATGTCAAATAGATTATAGGAAAGAAAAAAATGGGTTTATGGGGGAAAATGGGGCCAAGAAAAGTCTATATTTGCCTCAAACATCTTCTTTCCGTCTCATGAAATTAGTGGATCTTCCAAAATTTATCTGAAACTGTATAAATAATAGAGAGAGTATGAAGTTAAGGCAATGGCAGAATACTCCAGACTTAAGCAATCAACAAAACATATTTATATAATTGTTTTTAATAACACTACAGTCCTACAGTGTAGGTCCCCATTTTGTATTATATATTTTTAAGATTTACTTCAGAGATGAGAAATTTTTAATTGTATGGCTGTAAAATAAACATTTTTATATGTCAAAATTGTTAAACGTAAGGATGGATGTCAGTAAGAGTAGTAGAGAACCCTTTTAGACATTTAACAATACAAGGATATTTTAGTAATTAAACGTCGGGATCGTTATATATTGTTTAATCTTAACACTCTAAAAAGCTCATCTAAAATAGGATATTATTAAAAAAAAATCATTCTGAAAGATTTGGTATGAGGTGGCAGACTCAGCCAGACAATTATAAGATTTCTAAAATAATATCACTGTGCGACAAAATTTAAAAATTTTAATTAATAACGGCGAAAATCCAGCAAATTATGAAAGAAGAGCTAAGAAGAAGATACGTGAAAGTTTACAACGAAAAGTATTCAACGTAGGGGGGACAATTTCCCCCTCTTCCAAACATTTGGAAATTTTCGGATAGGATTCCACGGAATCCTTGCGTTTTTTGTATATAGTGTCTTTGGCAATATTTCAGATAAAAATACGAGGATTTTTTTCCACTTAATCGAGTCGACAAAATGGCTAATACGCTTAAAAACTTCCTTTAAACTGTATCGTAGCAAGTCAACACATTCCACAAAATTATTAGTCATGAAATTTTACGACATGTCCTAGAAGACACTAAGAGTCTAAATCTTACCTAAACGCCAGGAATCCATATTTATTAAAAACACATTTTAGGGCTAAAGAAGTACTTTATGTGATTTTGTGTAAAAATCTCCAATAAAGTATCATTTTGGAAGGAAGGCGTAACAGACAAAATTATTCCTTATCAAAACTATAAGCTACCAAAGAAAAGAAATCTCTATTTCCACGGTGTGTCAAAAAAATATTTCCATCAAAGTTCCCAAAACAAAATCGAAAATACTTCTTGATTTTTTTCGGGCTTTTTTTTCCAGTTGACGCCTGAAAGTAACATAAAATTTCATTTTAGGCGGAAGTTGTTAAAAGAAAAAATGTTCTCCACAAAATTTCACTATAAATCTTAGAATAAACCATGTATCTAGGTACAATAGTTTTGTATGGAATTTACATTCAAAATTGATATACTAAAAGTGAAAATAATGTCTTTGCTTTCACATGCACATATCCAATCCGAGTCAAAATTTCCAATTATATTTCATTGTTTGGGGAAAGTATCAGAGTAAGAATTATTCTAAATCAAATTTCATTGTGAGTCTCTGATGCACTGGAATTTGTATACTTAATATGTACCATAAAAAATAGCATAAATTCTTATTATTCTGAAAATTTTTATTTCTGAAAAATTTATCATTTTTTCCAAATCGCTGCAATCTTTCTTATAGTTTCACGTTACAATAGCCAATCTGCGTTGTGGAAAATGCCAAGTAGACCCCCGATAGTACTCGTTTATAGATCGCAGACCCAAAGGAGTTTCGGCTTAGGCTTTTATTTCGATTTGACCATGAATAAAGGAGGGACCCCTATAGTTTGAGATATATTTGACAATATTTAAGATAAAGCTTTGAAATTTTATAAAAATCATTAGATTATATCCAGAATAATTGGTACAGAAAATGGTCATATCGGGCCTTTTTTTGGAATACTCCCCTTGTTAGGATAACTCCGATTTCAAATATTGTTTACGTTTTGCCCATGTTTTCCATTTAATTTAGCCAAATGTTGGCATTTTGAGCTTCTGTTATGTAGAAATGTTTTTTTACAAAAAACTATCAATATAGGTTTACCTTTTGGTACAGGCGTTCTAGAATTATACCCCTGATTTTAGTTATTCCCAGAGTCTTTGTCATATTTTCCCCATCTTAAGATGTTGCATGTAGCACTGAGTACTTAGAAAAATTAATAATTAAGAATAATTAATTAAGTAATAAATGTCAATTTCCCCAGAATTTTCAGAAAACTTAAATTAAATTCGAAATTATAAAGCAAACTAAATTTTATATATAAAAAAATATTTAAAGTTTTGAAAAAAAAAACAAAAAACATTATTTTATTAAATCCTTTGTAAAAGCTCTAAGCTTACATTGAAAATTTGCATGGCAATATATTGTTTCTGTAATAGTTTAAATGACAAAATGTAATTTCGAAAAATATCAAACAAAAAAAAAAAAAATATGTCGAAGCATAACAATATTTGAGAGATTCGCAATCGCACAATACGCGAACGAAAAAAGACAAAATCAAAAATAGTATTTATTTTCACACAAAGAAAACCCCCCAAATCTCTTGCTGTACTTTTTCACACTCACATTTAGTCACACATCCATACATCTCTAGAAAAAAAACTTGCTAATGAATCACACACACATACACCAACTCTAACATACACACACATACATGTCACACACACACATCTACTATCATCTTTCCTTCTATCCTAAATCTTACGCAAAATTTTATTCTTTAGGTGGACCTAATATTTAACGAAGAAGGCTCATGTCCTCTGTGTAATAAGACGTTTTCGCGGAAATCTTCGTTGATAACACACATACGCAATCATGCGGCCGAAAGGAAATTTGTTTGTAATTATTGTAATAAAGGTAAATCGAAAGATAGAAGTATTAAAAAAATGTGAAACCAAAATTTCAAATACTAAACCAACCATTTCGTCGTATTTCCCCAACAATTCCCACCAAATGTATATGCGTATTTGGTTAAAATCCACATTTAGGTTTTACTCAAGCGGCCAATTTACGGAACCATGAACGCATTCACACCAACGACCGACCCTATGTGTGCGTGGATTGTGGCAAAACATTTACCCAGGTGAGTGGTTGTAGACATTTGATTTTATATGTCTTACCAAATAAATTGTTCCTCTCTTCACCCGGCCAGATTACGAACCTCAACAATCACCGGCGTTTACACACGGGCGAAAGACCATTTGTGTGCATTGAACCGGAGTGTGGACGCTCCTTTGCCCAGGTCACTAATCTCAACAATCACATGAAAACCCACCACAAAGTCCAGCAATACTGTTGCAATCAATGTCCGAAGAAATTCACCCAGGTCACCTCACTGAATCAGCATCTGCAAGCGCATGCGGGCATCACCGGCTACTATTGCCCCCGTTGTCCGGAGAAGACGTTCAAACAGCAATCCCAGCTGCACACGCACATGAAAACCCACGGCCTGCAATATCCATTCGAGTGCACGAAATGCGACGAGAAATTCTTGCAACAGACCCATTTGGAGACCCACCTCAAGATGCACGAAGAATTCAAATACAAATGCAATATATGTCCGAGTTCGTTTAATCAGGAGTCATTGCTAAAGAAGCATGAACAACGTCATTTAGAGGGCAGGTGCTGGCTAAAGAACCAAAAACGCTTAGTTATATTAAATTTAGAATAATCGAAGAATTGAGTCGATGGCCAAATTTTCGATTCTTGTTTCTAAAACAAGCTTTTTAGAAAAAAATAATTGATTTTGTTGTGAGCTATAATGGAGCAAGTCCCTGTTAATATGCCTAAAGAAAGCCAGTGTTTTCAAAGAACTCATTTTTCTTTCCGCAATCTTTCAGCGTGTGAATTTTAACGGCAGGAAACGCCTATAAGGATCTCCTATAGTCAGAAGAATTTAACCCAGTCTTTGTAGTTAGAAACCTAAAAGGGATTCCTTATATAGAAATATTCTGGATGACCCTACTGAGAGTATTTATTTTCACATTGAAGACTTATAGGCAAAAAGACCTTTTGAGGGTCTCATAAAATAAGAAAATCCTTATCGATCGTCCATTTTTCAGAAGCCATCTTGTGGATCGTCTATCTATCAGACCACCTCCATGACAATTATCACTCTTGAGAGTCCCCCACATTCCTCTTAAAAGTTTCCGAAATATATATCATTCTCAGGGACTACAAAATGTCCTTTAAGAGGCATTTTGCATAAAGGGCCTCGTGAAAGTTTTTTTTTAAAATAGAAACTCATTTTTAGGTTTTTCTTTAAGTTGAATACATCTTAAATGCTCTAATAGAGAGAAAACTTCATGACTGATTTCCATAAATATAATAGCTCTACAAGGACAATCTTGGGTATCTTCTATAAATAGAGAAAAAGGGCTCTCATTTACAGAAAATATTCAAGAGGATATTTTTTTAAAGGAAAGAAAAATGTAATATTTTTTTTTGCTTCTAAAGATTTTAGACTCTTTGGAATATCTGTATTGTTTTGAGAGCCTTTAAAAAAATAAAAAAAATCTTGATGGTCCTCGGCACTTAAGTTGCTTCTTGAAAGTCTTCTATTGTTGGGAGACCCTTTACCTCTTTTCTATATATTTAAATCTTTTACATATATTCTGTAGGTATAAAATATTGCTACACAGTCATTCTGTAATGAGAAGAGGTTCTTGTCTTCTGTTGAAAGAAGACATTTTCTGGTCTTTCACAGATAGAAGAAATTTTGCAAAATTGTTATGGATAGACAGGCTACAACTTTTACATATCCTCTATGGATGTTTGATCATTTTTAGGCTCTCTATCCATAGGTCCTCTATCCTTCACGGGGCATATATAATTTTATATATTAATGGTAGACTTAGGTACAAACTTTTTCGAAAAGTGTTGCCTTCTTTGTATAGTATTTTGTTGTTTCAAAATGGTCAGGCTTAATCCCATTATTGTTGTTTTTATAAAAACAACGTTTGTTTATTAGTGGAGAACGATGGTAATGTTTACCAGGGTGTAAGGCAGGGAATACCTAGGTTTCGGAAAAAGCCATCAATCCTCATCAGTTTCCTTGTTTTATGTCTGGAATATTTTCCCCAGAAGTTATTTTAAAAATAACTTCTATGACCTGACCATAACTTTTTCATTGAGTCTTTTGATGGCTATAATGGGCTTACTATAGTAAAATGGGTCACTTTGATAGCATGCATCCCAAAAAGCTATTGTAGATATAAAGAAGAACTTCTGAGGGGTAATTGTACTAAGAGAACCTCTTGATGAGCCTGTTCTGTGGCCATAAGATCTTTTGAGGACCTTTCAAAGTCTTCAAGCTCTGCACGCAGAGTGAAAGACTATAAAGCCTTTTGTAGAAGAGCATCAAGAGTCATGCATGCATACATTATTCCTAAAAGCTTTTCTCACAATAAAAAAGCTTTTGCAGTCCATCTGCGGATGGAATTCTTTTAGGGTCTCCTTTTAACAAAATACCTCATTCTCAGGGTCTTCTATAGATAAATAAAATATATTTTTGTAGACTATTGTGGGACTTTTTTAAGTATGTTTTAGTCACACCAAAATCAAATAAAAAAATTCCGTCTCGATTTCTAAATTTTGCAATATGCTAATCCCAACATATGGTTTTTACGTAGAAATCCAATAAATTATTTAAATGTTATTCATATATTAAAATTGTTACTAATTAATTTCTTTTTCTCTTTACCATCCCCCATATAGATACCTCACTTGCCCTGTGGCCAGTTGTAATGAGGCCTTTGCTGTTCGCCAACATCTCTCGAAACATTTGTTAAATAGTCATTCACATACAGAACTACCGCCTCCAAAACGATCTAAGAAATGCATCACACTGCAACCGCCTCAGCAACCATTGGCAATGGTCGGCCAACCGCTATCGCTACAACACGCTCCCCAACGTATGTTTATAAAAGACGAAGATGATGATTCGTAAAAACCACACACACACATAAAACAGAAAACAATGAATTATAAAAACACCTCTATCCTAAGGAAAAAAAAAAACAACTAAAATTATATCCCTGCGCCCCACCTAACAAATCCCCGCAATTGTAAAAACAAGAAAATATGTCCCAATATCCTCATTATTATTTTTTTTCTCTCTTTTGAATTAAGAAAATAATTCTTCTTCTATATTAACAAACAACATAACATCATATTCAAAATCTAAACGCGCTTAAAGATGGAGATTTTTGGAAGTCTTCTATTGTTTGATAATTTTTATTTAGCGGCAAATGGAAATTTGTTACCATCAACCTACTCCCATTACCCCCAATATCATACCTCAACTCCTTTTTCTTTGTGCATTATGTCCTTTTTTCTTGTATTTCTTTTTTTTCTCCATTATTTCTATGTTTTACACCAACAATTTAGTGTAATTGGTAAATGGATGTGAGAGAAGTTGAAAATTTAACGATCATCAGTTTTAAATGCAAATTAAGTTAAGTGTATAAACAATATATAATTTATACAAAAATATGTATAAAATTTTATAGAATAAATTTGAAATTTTTTCTAATTACATTACAACAGATGTATATTGATATGTGCTAGAGATAATGAAGTAGATGAATGTTGAAAAAAAAAAAAAAAAAAAACAAATTCAAAGGTTTTTTGCCCGATTAAGGATTTTATGGGATTATTTAAGATTTAAACTTTTTTATTATTCAACTAAAATATTCTAAGCTGAATAGTTATGCATGAGGTTCGATAGATTACTTACTCTCCATTTAAGGCAATTTTAAAGGTATTTAGTTTTAACGTTAAATTTTGCATCAACTACCATCCAGATAGATGTACTCGGATAATTTCATCCGTTCCATCTCTTCTATAGAGCGCTCTTAGAGATAATAAGCTTTTTAGTCCATTTTAAGATGCTGAGACAAGTAAATGCAATCTTCTGCAAGAATTGTGAGATAAAAAAACTGCAACAAAGTCAAACGCCATAGTTTTTAAATTTTATTAAATGAAAGCAAAAAAAATGTCGCAAAATATCATCAAATTTTAAAACAAGTTTAGATTTGTTCGGTCACCTTTGGCACGAATTATGGCCTTCAAATGTCCAATGGAACCGTCACACGATGCCCGAATGTTGCTCATCGGTATTTTGGCCCATTCGCGGCGAAGCACTTGCTTGAGGTGATCGACACTTTGTTTTTTTTTTTGTGCCAACCTTGCTTTCCAAAAAACTCTAGACACAATAGTCCAACGGATTGGTATCCGGAGATTTTGGTGGCCATTGTGTGCTGGAAATGAAGTGAGGAACCTCATTTTGTAACCATTCTTGGGTGGCGCGTGCTGACAGACAAATATACAAGTGTTGCGAACATTTTTATATTTAGTCCATCCCTACTCCCGATTTCGACTATAATCTCCTAATTACTGCTTTAGTAACATGCAGCAAGCAGATGCATGCAAAGTTCCTAACATAGACAATTTTTTGAATATCCGTCATTAAAAAACACGGCCACGTGAACTGTTATCGGAATAAAAATAATTTTAATCGACATTTACAATCCTTCCCATTTACATTCTGTTCGATTGAGGCAGTCATCTCCAAATCTAAACCATATTAACCCCTTGTGCAATAGTCATGCGATACCTGGCCACAGTCGCAAAACTATGAATAACCTTAAAAACAATTTTAGGTATCTGGAAGGCTAAAGGGGTTTATTCTGATTTCGCTTTCGTTTTGCCTGTGAAAAAAGTTTTGGGACTTCGATTGCGAATGTCTTTAACCAGTGGCATCCGCCAAAACGAGCCATTGTGACTACAACTGCTATTTTTAAACCCTCCACCATAGTATGGAGGGTATATTAAGTTTGTCATTACATTTGTAAGATCCCACAAAGGATTTTTATTCTTGATCAGCATAAAATTCTATGTCGATTTAGCGATGTCCGTCCGTCTGTGGAACAAATTGAAGTAGATTGATGAAATTTTACTCAAATGTAACTTATGTCTGCAGGACTTTTGGTATTGAAAATGGGCCGTGTAGGTCCTCGTTTAGGTATAGCCCCCATATAAAGGATACCTCGTGATATTCGGTATTTTGATGATTTTAGCGACATTATTCTACGATATTGTTTCAAATTTATTTTTTGAAGTTCATAATGGATACTACAGCCTAAGACAGAAAATTGTCTTAATTGGTAATTGAATATACCCAAAGATAACAGCTTCATTCGGCATTTTTAAGATTTAACAGAATTTTTAACGGATTTTATTGTTTTTGAGAATTGCCAAATTCGTTGCAAATGGTGGAGGGTATTCAAAGCTCGGCCCGGCCGAAATTACAACCATCTCAAGTGATGACACGTGGTCACCTTCCAATTACCTTTATGCTTGGCAAGTCTACGTGGATACCAAGGCCAGCAGATCATATGTCGCACGATTAAAATGGGAGACAAGACTGAATCCTTTCCCATTTTAAACCACCACCACCAGCTAACGACCTAACTGCTAGATTCATAGAGGAGTCATCATCAACAAATGCTTCCGGAACATTCATCTGAAATCATCCGCTACAATATTAAATGAGTCACTTTTCACTTCCTGAATGTGCGAACATATCCGCATTGGATGTGCAAACATATCCGCATTGAAATATAAGGCCAAATGTTGTTCCCTCCTTAGCTCCGGTATGGTCTTCCTTTCTTAGGGATATTTAATGCAGAAATGTTGTAAGCATAGCAAAACAATGCGCTCATAGTTCCAACGGGTCTTGACCATATGACCGGTGTGGATCACGTCCCTGGAAGATCCATCACCCATCAATCGTCTATTTTGATAATCTGTCCTCATGAATACTCAGGAGTGAGATGAGAGATACCACGTAGTATGGTGGCATGTTCGCTTGCTGAAAAGGCATTTTGAACATTTTCATCATTTCTCGGCCAATATGTTCCAAAGTTAGTTGGACAAAAACTATAAAGATTTGTTTAGGTAATCACAGAAGTGTTACCCATAGCTTCCATCCCCCAGCAGGTTCTAAATCTGTAGTATAGAAGAAAATAGAAAATATCCCTAAATCACTATAAAAACTCAATAATCCTATGAGTCCTTGACGTTGAACATATCACTTGTACCCCGTATTTCGGTATGTTTGTCTAAGTTGGCAAGTTGGATGTAGAAATCGGATGAAGTCTCAAAACCTTCACCTACTCCTTCAAAGACAAAGAGGCCTGGAATTCAATAAAAAATGAATTTGATCGAAAATATCCCTGCAGATTTCTGTAGAATAGTATGGCCGCTATAAAATCTCAATAATCCTATGAGTCCTTGACGTTGAACATTTCACTTGTGCCCTATATTTCGGCATGTTTGCCTAAGTTTTTGAAGTTGGATGTAGAAACCCAATAAAGTCTCAAAAACTTCACATACCTATAGTGTTCCTTCAAAGACAAAGGGGACTACAATTCAACAAAACATTTTCCTACAGATTTATTTAGAATAGCATAGCCGTTAAGGCGTCATAAAAACTCAATAATTCTATGAGGCTTGACGTTGAGTATTTCATTTTGTCACGATAGCTCTACTTGTATGTTCATCTTATTCTTATATAGATATCTGATTCAGGTTATTTTATTAACAGAACATTTAATTGAACTTAATTTAACTCATATGTGTGAGGACTTTGAATTTTACGATTTTGTACCCAATTTTTTTATTTCAACAATTATACGTCTGCAAATTGACTTCAAAAATCTCTTATCTTTGGTTTTTTTGTTTTCTGCGATTGGCATTTTTCCGAAAATATCTCCGAAAATATACCTCATTTCTTTTAATGATCATTAGTTTATTGCTTTAAATTTTTTAATGTGGCCTCTTATTTTGAGATTTTTTATTTCTTTAAAGACTTTATAATGGTTTCTAAAAAAATATACTAACAAATTATTTAATAATACTTTTAAATTTTCTTACACATGGCTTTATGAATTATTTTTAAGATTTTCATAAGAAAATAATGTATACGATAACATGTTTTCTCTTTATTCGATATGGAAATAAACAAAATAATTTTAAATAACATATTTTTTAGGACTAATATTTTCAATACTAATTAAAGTAATTTGTTTTTTTTTTAAATAATTAAACTTTTTTAACTTTTTTTGAAACATGCAGTTGAATTTGGACAGTTTGTAAGATGCAAAGAACCAAATATCGAAGTAAGCCTTACAAATTGTCACAATTCTACTGCATCTCTTTTTCTTTATTTATTTCTTTTCATGCTCTGCATTCATGATTTATTAATATTTTTGATTTTCTCTTTGCTCCTCATCCCTCCTGTGTTTTCCATTTGACTATTTTGCAATCGAATACCCTTTCCCCTTACCCAAGTCCCTTCCGTGGATACTTCACTGTAACTCTGTTGACCATGTTTCCGGAATCGATAAATACAAACCATAACCACCAAACCAAATCTCAATATTTTTTTTTCTTTACCCTATGGCCCCCTTATTTTCAACTCACCTGTTTCTCTTTATCTTTCTCTCTCTCTCTCACATTCTCTTCCCCCCTCGGTTCAATTGTGCCCGTTTTGTTTCTCTCATAGGTGGTCGTCCTCCTAAAAATAAATCAAAGGCTAATGCATTGAATATACCATCGTTGATCAAAGTCGATATAAATGATGTTCTGCCTTATAATCAAAGCGTTTTGAGCAATGTCAGTGGGTTGTCAATACCGCAACAGATCAATCAACACCTGCAACAGCAACAACAGGCCCAACAGCAGGCCCAGCAACAACTACTGCAGCAAGTTCAACAACAGGCCCAGCAAGCAGCCCAACAAGCTGCCCAGCAAGCAGCAGCAGCGGCGGCCGCCCAACAGCAGCAACAACAGGCCCAACAGCATGCTCAGCAACAATTGGACCAACAGCAGCAGCAACAACTGGATCAACAACAACAACTGCTGCTGGGCAATCAAGTGAAAGTCCGCTACATACCCAATACCCAGATCAAATAAAATCCCATCAAAATGTTTATCATGGTGGGATGTGCATTCCCCACCTGGAAGGGCAAGATAATTTCATTGATGTCTTCACAGTTAAACCCAAAACTATGTTTTTATCTATATCTCAGCTATTATAAGGAAATATTTTTTATGACATTGTTTTATATTTAAAATAAAAAAATAACAATAATTCTCTCCATACATTAATGTAAAACTATTTTTATATATAGTATTCAAATTTGTTTTGAAATTTATGTTTATTCGTCTTGAGATATTAACAAAAAAAAAAAAAATGTAAATGAAATGCAATAAGGCAACGTCCTCCTATTCTCCCCTTATTTGATATGTGTAAACGAAACCCTATTTGTTTTTTAATAACTGAAACTGGTTTTGTTGATTTTAAACAAAAAAAGAAAAATAAAAATAAGATAATTAAACTAATAATAAATATAATTAAATTAAGAATCTACAAATAAATAATAATGTGAACAATTTAGTGACAAAAAGTATAAAATAAAATTAATAATTGTAAGTTTAAATAGTTTATAATATAAACAGAAATTTTTAGATGTATAACATATCTTCGAAATTTTTTAAATAAATTTATAACTAATGAGAAAAAAATTAATAATATAAAAAAGTTGTGAGCAATTTATAAAAAAAAAAAACATTTTGTGAGGAAGAAGGAAGTTGGCAAAGCAGGCAAAAAGGACGAATCCTGTTCAAAAAGCACGATTAGATTGAATTTTGGCCGATACACCCGAACATTGTCTAGAAGCAAGTATGTCATATTTGGTGAAAATTGAAATTGAAAAAATATCAAATATAGTTATAGCCATAGTACAATGAAAAGAAGGTAGGTCAACTTTGAAAAAAATGCAAGTATAGAGGTCTACCTGTTTGGCTTGTAATGTAAAAATTAGTATCAAAACAATAAAAAATCAAACAACTTGTTGCATTTATTTTGAATAAATAATTGAAAACCGCGATAACTGAATAAAAGGTCAACATTTCTTTTCAAAATCATGTTCTATACATCTCTTATGGTTTATTTCGCGACAAAAACTGTAGATTTTGTGGATGCATACGTTGCAATAAGCATTTTGAAAACACCCGAATTTGAATATTTTCTGAACAATTTTTTTATTATTGAAAAGAAGACACACACATAAGCAAATGAAGTTGACATATTAAGCCAGAAAAATAAAAAAATTGAAATCATATGGTAGTTCTGCCCTACCTTGAATTCATTGTACCATGCATGGTACAATGAAGAGAAGGTAGGTCAACTTTGAAAAAATTGCAAGTATAGAGGTCTACCTGTTTGGCTTGTAATGTCAGAATTAGTATCAAAACAATAAAAAATCAAACAACTTGTTGCATTTATTTTGAATGAAAAATTGAAAAACGCGATAACTGAATGAAAGGTCAAAACTTCTTTTCAAAATCATGTACTATATATCTCTAAAAGATTATTTCGCTACAAAAACTCTAGATTTTGTAGATGCATACGTTGAAATAAACATTTTGAAAACACCCGAATTTGAATATTTTCTGAACAATTTTTTTTGTTATTGAAAAGAAAACACCTACATAAACAAATAAAGATGACATATTAAGCCAAGAAAATAAAAAATTTGAAATCATATGGTAGTTCTGCCCTACCTTGAATTCATTGTACCATGGTACCATGGTTATAGCCATGACTCAATAAGAAAGGTTGCTCAACTTCAAAGAAACTTAAAAATGCAACTCTCTGCTGAAGTCTTATAGTGTCAAATAGACTTTTAAATATAATTTTGTTTATTTTTCATTTTTTTTTTTAAATCTTTTATTGGGGAAATGGACAATGGATAGGACAATACAATCTTATCCAAAAATTTTGCAATGTGTTGCCCATTGTCGAAAATTTATTTTACAACCGAATTTGAAATCATTTCAAATTATAGTATTTTTTATTCAAAACAATACACACACATACACAAAATGTGTATATGTTTTGACAGAATAAGGGCACTTTAAATGTGAATAAATGTTTTGTGTCTCGTACCATCGCTCGTTACCGTGATACTGGTAGCGTAGCCCGACGTCAAGGAAGTGGACGGAAGGCAATAGCAACATCAGCAGAAATTATTCGAAAAGTGAAGAAGCGACTTGATCGAAACCCGCGTCGCCGTGGCCGAAAAGTGGGTCGTGGACTGAACATATCGCAATGTTCCATTCGGCAAATATTACAAAATGAGCTCGGGGTAAAGCTATTGAAATTACAAAAAGTGCAAGAACTTACACCGCAACAGAAAGAAAATAGACTCAAGAGAGCTAAAGAGTTGCTTCGCTTGGCCGAAAGTGGTGAACTGCAGAATCTCCGATGAGAAAACATTCGTTGTTCAGCAGTTTGTAAACAAAACAAAAGGATCGTGTTTACTTGCCAAAGAGGTCAGCTAAAAATGTGCACCGTCGGTTGGCCACCAGAACTCAAGCGCCGGCCATGGCCGCCCTAACAGCCGATGGTCGCTCTCTGCTCGTATTAATCGACCGTGGCATCAGCATAAATGCCGAATATTTTAGCGAAAATATTCTGGAGGTTGCATTCCAACAGGACTCAGCACCATCGAGGTGAAGTTAACATTTTTAAATTTTGTTTTGGGTGCTAGGTTTGTGATAAAGAGTTAATTTTGGAAATTTGTACTACAAGTGTACGAAAAGTACTAAATAGTACTATGTTTGTTTAAATTTGGTATTGGATAAACAGATAGAGCTTGAATTCTGAAATTTGGTATTAGGGTCGCTGTCCATGTGTAAACTGGATATATGGAGGTGGAGTACTGAATGGTACTGTATTTGTTAAAGGTTAAAAAAAGTAAAATTCTGAAATTTTATAGATTACTGATGATATCTTTGTTTGAGATTTGGCGGTGGTTTAGAAATGTGTCCTATATTTGTACGAAGAGTACTAAATTTGGCATTGGGTGAAGGAAAAGGGCTAGAATCTGGATTTGAGATATGGAGGTGCAATTTGTGTACTATAATTGTACGAAAAGTACTAAAGGGGCTGGTTTTGGATATACGTACTATAATAATACTAAATGGTACTCAATTTTGTGATGGGGGAAATTAAAGAGTCGAAATCCTGAAATTTGATATTATGGCCACTGTTGGTATCTGAGGTTGAGGTATGTTGTTTTAATTGTTTGCGTACAATAATTGTTTCAACAAAGTGCTGACTGGTACTATATTTTATATTGGGTGCAGGGATAAAGCTGAAATCCTGAAATTTGATATGGATGTCACTGTTGGTGTCTGTAGATGAGAGAAGGAGGTGGATTTTTTAAATGCGTACTATGAACGTACAAAAAGTGCAAAATGGCATAAAATGCGCCGTTGGGATAGAGATGGAAATCTGAAATTTCGAATCGAGATCACTGTTGGCGAAGGAGGAGAATTTGGAAATGCGTAGTATAACTATACGAGAAGTATGGTAATAAATTTGGGATTGGGTCTGAGGATAGAGTTGGAATTCTAAAATTTGATATTGAGGCATCTGTTGGTATATCGTTTTGAGAGAAAGGGGTGGATTACGGAATGCATACTATGATTGTTCGAAAAGTACTAAATTTGCCGTTGAGTGAATGGATATAGCTTGAATCCTGAAATTTTATATTGAAGCCATTGTTGGTTTCTAGGATTTAGTGGTCAATTGTCATTATGGAACGACGTTGAAATAGCTTTGGCCAGATAAATTGGATGTGGAACCATTGTGCAAGGTTTTAATTTATATGATCTTCGGTGAACGAAAAGTTTTAAAGACTTTTTGTTGCAAATAGTAATCAGTTTTCGATTATCCTTTTTGATAAAGGAAAAACTTTTATATGAAACTTGAATTGAAGTGGTGCAGCTGAAAAATTAGTACGATGTATGTAGTTATTTCCAAACAAAACTTCATACATCGCACTAAATTGAAATAACAATATGAGCCAACTCCTTGTGGTACCTCCCCCATAGAGGGGTTACAAATTTAAACAACTCAAATGATCATATAATTCGAACCAAGCAGCTGATTTCTTCTAAATTGCAAACAATCTAATATTTCTACTAACACAAGAACTGTCGTAAAGATGATAGATATGGCCCAACCTTGTGGTACCAATAGCCAATATTTGTAACTTGCGAAACAAGTCTGTGATTTTTTCCAACTTGGAATATGTAAATGTTTCTCTCAAGGGATCTGATGTGAATACGGAATTGGAAACTTGGAATTTATCGGTCTCCTCTTTCTCGTACCTTCCCCACACAAGGTTAAAGCTGTGATTAATTATTCGCATAAAATTGGAATATATCTTTATCAGTATTAGATGAAGTGGGATACCTATATTTAGTACGTTTCTCACATTTCATTTTTTTTAATTATCATTTATCTCAAATATAGTGAAGGAAGTAGTCGATATAGTCCAAATCTGGCAAGTTGCAAACTTTACATCTGTCTTATTTCGGATTCGATATTGATAATATTGGCACACGCTTGAAAATTCCACCATAAAGGATCAACAGTTGGAATAATCGAAACACAAATCAAAATATATTTAAATAAACTGACAATAGCTTTTATTCCCTCCACCATACATTGTATGGAGGGTATATTAAGTTCGTGATTCCGTTTGTAATTCATTGAAATAATAATTTTAGAATTAACAAAGTGTATATATTCTTATTCAGCATAAAATTCTAAGACGATTTAGTCCTGTCCGTCCGTCCGTCTGTATTTTGTGTGCAGGCAGTCAAGTTCGAAGGTGGGTTATACCGGTACACGATATCGTATGACCCCCTTATAACGTTACCCCTCGATATTTCATATTTTGATTTTTGCCACATTTTTCAATGGAATTGTCAAAAAATCCACTCAAGGAGTTGCTTTTGAGTACTTCACCCCCTGAAAGAGAATTGTCTATATAGATTCACGATATAAGGGCCCCCCATATTTATTTTTTTGATGATTTTAGCGATATTTTTGACCACAATTGTTTCAGAATTCGTATTTAAAGTTTGAAGCTCATAATGAGTACTACAAAATATGCCGGAAAATTGTCTATGAAGATCCACGACTTCGTCTAGCCCACATATAACTATACCTCCCTTTTCCAATATTTTAATGATATTAGCAACATTATTCACCGGAATTGTTTCAAATTTAATGACATTAGCGACAATTTTAAACTGATTTTTTTCAAATTTCGTATTTGAAGTTTGGAGTCGATACTACAGTCTATGGTCAAAAATTATTTATGCAGGTCCACGTTTTCGTATGTTCCCCCAGTTAACGGTTTTCATTTAAGTGGTACTTTCCGACGGATTTTTTTAAATTATTCAAGACCCTTCCAAATAGTGAAGGGTATTGAAAGTTCGGCCCGGCCCGGTACATAGCTGATTTTTTACTTGTTTAACTTGTAATAGTGAAATATTAGTTTATTATTGGATAATAAAATGATGAATGTTAATAGTCCGAATAATAATTAAAATAAG